TTAGGTCCAGAATCTGATGGGTTGGTTGCAATGGGAATGTCTTCAATGGGTTCGTCGATAACTTCTGGATCTGATTCTTGAGTATCGACCGCTTCATTGATAATGTCTTCTCTCCAATCAGTACTAATGCATTCAATCTCATCCTCAAATTCAGTGAATTCATTGGAATTCATTAATTCAATATTAAGAGAGGTTTGAATTTCATTAATGCATTCATTCATATCATCACAACTTTCTTCGCATTCAAACAATTCATTTTCGACATTAAAACCCGAAACTCGAAAACAATTTATTATCACTTCTTCGGTAACCGCATCCCATGAACTGACAATCCAATTGATAGCGTCCTTAAGACTTATATCATTTATACTTTGTTTGATTTCAGAGATCAAAGAGTTATAGTCTACTGAATCGGTGTCATTTTGAACGTAAGACCGGATAATTGAAGTCAAATGCTTTAAAAATAATGTTTTGTATTTTGATTTGAATGACCGGATAATTCCCTGATCTAGTGGTTGCAGTCGTGATGTTGTGTTTGCCGGGAAGTACTCAATCTTAATGTTTGACAATTTCTCGATATTCAGATGTGTCGACACGTTATCGACAAATAAAAGTATTTTTCGGTTTTGTTTGGCAAACATCTGATTCACTTTTTTTAACCAAGAAGTGAATACATTTCTTGTCATCCATGCGTTTTTGTTTGCATAATAGTGAACACCCAATGAATTCACATTATATTTAATTGTTTTAAAACATCGAGGTTTTAGAGCCTTCCCTGTAAAACAAAAAAATTATTTAATGTTTAATTAAATTAATATTTATTATTACATACCAATGATTACTGTCTTAAGCTTTTGACCACTCATTGAACAGCAAAATCCCAAACTAATCCTCAGTTTTGACTTTTTTCGACCAAAACTATCGCATCCTCTGATTAAATAAGACTTTTTGGGCAAAATCTTATAGAAAAGTCCCGTCTCATCGAAATTCCAGACATCTTGTGGTTCATAGCCTGATGTCAACTCTTGTATCCGCTCTTTCCAGTCGTTGACCACAACCTCATTCACGTCCGCCGACTCGCCTTTATATGAATTATATTTAATGTCATATCGTTTTGTAAACTTCTCGAGCCATCCATTTGAAGCCTTGAATGAATTGATTCCCATTTTCAAAGCCATTTCTTTCGCGAACTCTTGAATACTGTTGCCATCGATGGGTACTTTCGCGGCGTTTGACGACTCGACAAACTTATAGACAATTTCATTGAGTTTTGAGTTTTTATTTGAAATTCTCTTATATTTCAAGTTATTTGATCCCAAATTAAGATATTTGTCTCTTTCGGTAATAATCTTCGAGACAGTACTCGGCGCCACTCCATACTTGTTAGACAAATCAATTTGTTTGTATTGACCAGATTTGTGATCATTGATTAACTCAATCTTCTCATCAATTGTCAATTGTTTTGATTTAATTGACTTTTTTGGAGGCATTTTCACTGATTTAACACAAAGCAACTGAAATCACAAACACTTTTAACAAAAATACATTTAAAAACTTTTTTCCAGTTTTTGCCTAAAAAATTCACATTTTAGAGGTGTAGTGAATACTGTTTGGGACCAAAAAATGTGTTTCTGTATCGGAATATAGAGGTTCGAGTTATAGAGGGTTTTTATAATGGGTTTCTATGAGAATGAATCGGGTCTTAGAAATTGTGTTCACTATTAGAGGGATTTCCATATCAGAGGGATGAAGTTGTAGAATATAAAGTGTAGCATACAATTGAGTACCAGTGACTCAACACTACCAGTGCCACCAAAGCCATCGACATAAGCCCTCGGACTCAATGAGCCCAACCATACCATACAACCGTACAAACCATACAAATATCATACAATTTGATTAATATTAGTGTAAACTTTTCGTTTCCTTGTATCAACTTTTGTGTGCAATTTTTTGGGTTATAGAGCTGACAGTTGTTATAATAATTACTCGCATTTGTTTTTCAATCTCTCTCTCTCTCTCTCTCTCTCTCTCTCTCTCATCATTGCGTGAATAGTGGAAAAAATCAATAAACTGGGTAATAATATAGAGAAAACAAATAATAGCAGTGCAGTAGAGAATTGAGAGACAAAAAAATCTCTATACAATACACATGCCTTTCCCTTTATTTAAGAGTTAAATCTTTAGCTAAAGATTATGCGATAAAATCCCAAATGAATCGCATTTTCAATTTAATAATGAATTTCTTATTTCCAGACTTTTTCTCATTACGAGGCGAGAGATTTTGCATTCAATACAATGCATGCATTTTATATATACAGTTAGACTGTATTATTAATTTATGAACACATAGAGTAAGTAACATAGCATTCATTGTGGGTTAACATTAATTTAATTTACTCGCTAAGTTTGTGTCTCTACGGTAATTGTATAATAAAAAACCAAAACAAATTAGTCTTGAGAAATTAATTCAAATTATGTATGACTTTTGAATGTGATTTAAATTGATTAGTATATAAACCATGCATTAATATTTACAAAATTGCCATCATAAGTAAATATTGAATAATAATTATATGTATGCTGTAATTGATTTTTTTTATTGATTGATAGTATTTTTATTTTATTAAAAAATTAATCAAAATTCTTGTGAATATAATGTGTAGTAAATAGTAGGCAATGGATGGGAATGGAGGGGATCGACACGAAAAATCCATAACAAAAGCCTTATTGTATTTCATTGTGTAGTTTGAGTTCAATTGGATGTGACTTTTAATTAACAAAGCGTTACGAAAGCATTATATTTCGTATTGAATGTCAATAATCACTCGCATATGACTTATTGCTAAATAAAATATGACTTTAGTTTGGCATTCATGTCGACAAATCTTTTATGTTTTCGCGTAAAAACTTTCTCACAAATTGTACGAACATTTCTCATACCTGTGCCCATCATTGCAAATACAATTACCGATTGTTTTTCACTAAAACATCTTAAATGTTGAGTTTAAATGTTTGGGTAAAAAAGTATTGGTTTTATCGGAATTTCGCTGAAAAAATCCAATGAATAAGACATTTGATGGCATTTTGCAGACATAAGGGCTATGGATGGATAGGAATGTTAGTATATACCAGAGCTTATGTAGCCATAGGTTTTGGCGTAGAAATTAAATTAAATTTTTGACTCAAAAATCAATATTTGAAACAACGATATCCCGAGTAATCATTTAAATGTAGAGTTTTTCGCTTCAATTTGGACGTCAAATGCCAGTGAAGTCTGACTCCGGTTTCGGATTCATTAGAGATTGAGATAAAAAGTAAACAATTTTTCGCGAATTAAATGAATAAATGATTTCGAGAAAGAAAAATATAAATTGAAATTAAATTCATAGCAAATGTAGCGCTGATTATATCGTAATTTTCTGTAACATTATTTTCGTGTTATTAATAGTATTTCAATAAAATGAAAAGATTTTTGATATCATTATCTAATCTCTGTACTGATAACTACTATAAGAGCAGACAATTGTTTGTACTGTTAATAGTATTGTATTTATTTTTGTTGTTGCATTCAATGTATCCTTTTTATAGTGAATAATGGATTAAGTGATAAGAATCTCAAGAATTGTTTGATTTAAATACCTATTGAGAGGTCGATATGTATTTAATAAATGGTTGGCTGAGTGGAAAGGCTATCAAATTAGATCATAAGTCACGAGATAGTGAACATAGTAAGACCTGTAACGATTGTACCCGGGCTAATGTATGTAAAATTGTATGAATGTATGGTATTTTTGCTGAAAACTGAAGGCTATACTTAAAAATCGTGAACAATCTGATTAGGGGTCAGGTATGCGGAATACACGCATTGATCTCCTATTATATACCTGTGCTGTCAAATTGAATAGTTTTATTGATGAGAATTAAAAACTAAAAGTATTAATAGCAGGGATACTTTTGTTGTGCCCCATTCATTGTTTATGATCGATGATACCCTTAACTGAATGCAACGTATGGCTAATAAATGCTAATTTGCAGCTTATTATGCATACAAAGTGAGATGAAAACACAATTTACAGATAAGATTATACACACTATACCTAACCATCCCATACCCCAATACATGCCATGCCTATGAAAGCCTTGAAAATGAAATTTTTGGTTGAATTGAAATATTCCGTGGCTTTGATTGCATTGTTTTGAATGGGAAAACAACTTTTGATTATATTTAATATAATAACTTTTGCTTATATTGTAAATCATTTTGTGATTTAATTATATCTTAAGCTCCACTCGTGTAATAAACTGTTGATAAAAAAGGCAAATACTATAAACAGTGTCGGAATTAGTTATCATAAAATGATTGCATTATTTAAACTACAATTTTAGTGCAAATATAGATATAAAGTATGGAAAGTGCAGTAAAATGTCGACTGAATGGAAAATATTAGAGAAAATATTTTTTATTGACTCAATAAAAAGCGAGATTTCTGTACATATTGCAAATGTAAGACAAAAACTCGTTGGGGGAAAGGGATGTTAAATGAATGAGACGTTACATCCATCCATCTCTCTTCCCGCTTAATCTCATCTCGTTTTTTATCATTGAATTCAGAAATTTCTTACAAACTCTCAATGCTTTTGAGATCTCAATATTTGCCGATATCTATGAGTAGTAGGTATTTCTCAGAGGATTTCCACCAAAAGTTTTTGAACTATAAAAACATCGGGATCAGCCCTTCAGATGTTTGCCTAAACAAAAGTAATTTTAAGAGAGATGCCTTTCCACTCCATACAGTCCCTCTGTATCTAATGTATTGGAAATGCATTAATGCATGCATTTTTGTGTACACACAGAATATTCTGCATTCTGTAGCCATTCATAGAAATAGATATTCGGAGTTATCATTGCATGCATTGACGCCACCATTAATAGTATGGCAAAGCGGTTGGCAATTATTATTACATTTTGCGGATATTTATAAGAAATTTTCAAATTATAATATCTGTTTGTTTTCGTAAGGACTGCGAAATGTATTCAAAAAGGTTTTTGTTTTGCATTTTTATTGCCAAATAAATATTTAAATGCCTGCGTGAATTGCATATTTACATTGGTGGTGTTTTGCGTCAGAATATTCTGTCAATTATGTATGAATATTCCGCTCATTTAATATTAAAATCAAAATTCTTGCAAAATTTAAATATAGATTTTTGTGAAATATTTCGGTGTGTGTATGACGTCTAGTGTATGATATATGGATAAGTAGTTTATGTCTGCAATCGGTTTATACGATAAGACAATTGTATGCAAAAGAGTGACTGAAAGACATGGAAAGGACATGAACTCTAAGAGAGAGCTGTTTTGCGAGAGAGTATGAAATAGACTGACAGAGAGAGCACAGAATTCTGAGAGAGAATATGAATCGGGTTTTTGATACAACTTCTAAATATAGTAGCATTTTATTGATTTTAAGGTTCGCTACAACTCTAGCGACTAATCCAAAACTGTTATACTATTTATTCTAATGGTTAGACTCGGAGAGTGAGAGGGAGGGAGAGAGAAAGAGAGAGAGAGAGAGAGACTGTATATTGAAAATAAAACATTTCGCTTCTCCAGCCTTAGACATAACAGTCCCCAAGAATTTACTCCAAGTGCTCAAATGGAAATAAAACAGAGCTCTGGTTGCGAGAGAGAGAGAGAGAGAGAGAGAGAGAGAGAGAGAGCACGTAATGATCACAGTTTTAAAGGGAAAAAATATAATAACAAATTGATTTCGGAGGAGATTTCAACGAAAATATTTTCTACGATTACTTCACAGATGTCTTTCCAAGTAATTGAAAATAATTTTTCATTTCGTGGATATAATACAAACAAAAAATATATACAGAGTATATTGCATACTAGTTGTATAGAGTATACAATTGTATAACGATTTTGTTAAAAATACAATTTAGAAATGTATATGGTTGCTTTTAGACATGTGTAGGCATTAATTAAATGAAGTGTTTTGTAGCAAAAAAATCAAATCAATTGCTAAGACATGCCATTAGAGTCAGAGATAAGCTTAAGTGTCATCTAATATATTGTCAATAATTTGTTAAAACAAACCACAAGTTTCTTAAATATTCCGATAATTTCACTCAAATCTAAGCCCAAGAACATGCCATAAGTTTGTAATTACCATCCATTGATAGGTATGTCAGGAACAGTATTACTATTCATAAGGAACTGTAGATATTGTATATTTATTCAGAAAAAAATTACACAAAATGTTTGTTTAAATAAGAATTAATGGCAAGAAATAACAGATTGTTTTGACAAGAAATTCAATAATAATATTGTTATAGATTTTAATGATAAACACAATTCGCTACACAAAACCCTACATTAAAACAATCGGTTTCAGTGAGTGATAAGTCATTGCACTTTGACTTGGAGTCTACCCTACCGTCTCTCAACCCCCACCACAAGCCGTTTGGCCTGCAATAGGATCCGTCCCTTATTGAAGACAACGGGGACGTCAGTGTTGGCCACTCTGGAGAACCGGAACTGCTGTGAGATCTTAGCTAAGGCTAGCTTTGCCTCCAATAATGCAAATCTCATTCCAATGCAATTTCGTGGACCCGAACCGAAAGGGATATAAGTATACGGTTTGATGTTTTCCCTGTTTTCGGGCATAAACCTATCAGGGTTGAATGTGAATGGATTCGGGTAGTGCTCGGGGTCGTGATGTATGGCATAGACAGGGATTTCGGCGATCACTCCCTTTTCGATCTTCACTCCAGTGTCGCCCAGAGTTACGTCTTCCATGGCTTCCCTCTCGAGTCGAAGTAATGGCGGATAATTGCGAAGAGTTTCAGATAAGAGTGCGTCAATGAATGGCAGTTTCGATAAGACTTCGTAATCTATTTCTCCCTTTTCATTGAATGCAGGTTTCGTTTCCTCATAGAGTCTGTCCTGAAGTGTAGGATTGAGTGCCAACTCATACGTACAGTACGACAGAGTAGTGGCAGTTGTCTCGTAACCGGCGATGAAGAAGAGGAAACATTGCGCTAATATCTCATTCTCTGTCAACTTCTTCTCGACGACATCACTGAGAGCCTCGGCGTCGGCTTCAATCTCATCCTTACCCTCATTCACATGATGTGCTTCATTGGCATCACTGGCCTCTCGGATATCGCCATCACTTCTCTCGACATCCATTAATAACTGCAGAAAATCGTTGTGTTTTTCATTATTTTTCTTTCGCTGCTGTACTAGACTTCGGGAGAAGTCGACAAAAAAGTCCGAATTCGTTGAACCCATGATGAGTAACTTCTCTCGACATCCATTAATAACTGCAGAAAATCGTTGTGTTTTTCATTATTTTTCTTTCGCTGCTGTACTAGACTTCGGGAGAAGTCGACAAAAAAGTCCGAATTCGTTGAACCCATGATGAGTTTGCGGATGATCTGTATTCTGGCGATAAATGTAGGCAATGATATCATTAATATCATCTTCCAGAGGGGCCCGTGAAAGATATTATGAGCTCTGGTGGTGAACGGGTTGTTAGGATCGGTGTATGTATTGGTTTTGGTAGCGAAGGCACAGCTGGCGATCACATCCATAGTGTAGGCGCCCATCAGTTGCTTCAACTCGACTTCGCTCTTATTTGCGGCCAATTTGTCCAAATTATTGATGAAGTCTTCGCAGCAATGGTTGATCAGAGGATACATTTTCCTCATTTTGCCGGACGTGAAGGTAGGGCTGGCTATCGCCCGGACCCGCTTCCAGTCGTCATCCCTGGCGGCGAACATATTTTTCGAGAATACAGGGTGTCGACCACCCTGGTCACGTCTATTTCTGAATTTATGAAAGTCCTTAACCAGAATTTGCTTGACATGTTCCGGCTCAGCCACTGTGAGACCCGGTTTATTACCCATGTACACACTGTAAAATATATTTATAGTATTTAAATTTATATATAAGTTACTGTATATTATGTCAATGAACACAGAATTTAATATCAAGAATTACTATAATGCCATGTAAACTCAAATATAATTTATTATTACTATGTAATATTACAATTAAATGTGCATGATATTGTATTTACCCGAATAGTCGACCATTGTTCTTATACCACTCTAACTCTACATAGGGTTTAGGTTTCAAAAAATTGCTCAAAAAGTTGCCAAATATTGGTATCGGTCTCGGAGTGGGAATATTCCTGTCCTTCCAGTAACTCAGGGCACGTTTCCATGTACTGCACAA